GTCAGAGGAGAGGTGTGGGAGCAGTGTTGCACCTCTCACAATTGCAGGGAAAGGTACTGGGTGCGGTGGAGGAACTGATGGGGAGTGTAGAGCTGACAAGTGAGTCACGGAATGAATGGTCCCTGTGGAAAATGAACAGGGATGGGGACAGAAATATCTTTTTGGTGATGAGGTCTGATCATAGGTGGCAGTAATGTCGGAGGATGATGCATTAGATCCGGAGGTTGGGGGTGTGGAATGTGAGGACGAAGGGGACTCTATCCTTATTGCTGTTGGGTGGAGTGGGTTTGAGGGCAGAAGTGTGGGAAATTAAGGAGATGCTGTTGAGGTCATCCTTAATAACAGAGGATGGGAAATTATGGTCCCTAAAGTAGGACAATATCTGGGATGATACAGTGTGGAAGTGGAGGGACACAGCAGGCCAGGCAGCATGAGAGGAGCAGGAAAATTGATGTTTCGAGTTTACATCCTTCATCAGGTGTAAACCCAAAACGTTGACTTTCCTGCTCCTCTAATGCTGTCTGACCTGCTGTGTTCCTCCAGCTCCACACTGTATTGACTCTGACTCCAGCACCTGCAGTTCTTGCTACCTCTGAGAATATCTGGGATGTCTGGAGTGGAACGCCTCATCCTGGGAGCAGATGTGGTGGAGGCAGAGGAATTGGGAGCATGGGATTGCATTTTTGCAGGAGGCTGGTGAGAGCAGTTGTGGGAGTCAGTGGGTTTGAAATGGAATTCGGTGGTGAATCGTTTTCCGGAGATGGAGATGGAGAGGTCCAGGCAGGGAAGGGAGGTCTCAGAAATAGTCCAGGTGAATTTGAGAGCGGGGTGGAAGGTGTTGGCAAGGTTGATGAACCGCCCAAGCTCCTCACGGGAGCTCAAGGCTGCATCAATGCAGTCATCAACATAGCAGAGAAAGAGGTGGGTGTTGGTGGTAGTGCAGTTGCTCCATAAATCCTACAAAGAGGTAGGCATAGCTCGGGCAAATGCGTGTGCCGATGGCCACCACTTCGGTTTGTAGGAAGTGGGAGTAATCAAAGGAGAAATTGTTGAGACCAGTGAGGACCAGTTCAGCCAAGCTGATTCCCCTCCTTGCCACCATCCTATCCATCAACACCTCCAGGTTCCTGTCCACAAAGCAGGGAGTGAGCTTTCCTTCCTTACGGGCTATGTCCTGAATGAAGAGGCTCGAACACCAGATTTTGATGGGGCTTTTCGCTTGCAGCACCTGAACGGGAATGCAACAGGGTTTAAATATGCCACCAGAATGGCTCTTGCAGTGGTAAGCACTGCTGTTTCTCTGGCTACGCAATTTCCCAAGAAGGCACCCAAGAACCTGGTTGCAGTTAGCAAGATGAGTGGAAGATTTTTTTTAATTCACTGGCAGGACATGTGCATTGCTGTCAGGCCCAGAATTTATTACCCATCCATCGTCACCCTTCAGAAGGTGCTGGTGAGCTGCCTTCTTGAACCACTGCAGTCCATGTACTATAAATTGATCCACAATGCCCTTGGGGAGGGAATTTCAGGCTTTTGACCTCGCAACAGAAGTATGTTGCCTTTCCTTCACTAAGTCAGGATGGGGAGTGACTTAGAGGAGAACTTGCAAGTGGTGGTTTTCCCATGTACCTGGTGCCCTGTCCTTCTAGATGGAAGTATTTGTGGGTTTGGGAGATGCTACCTAAGGACCTTTGGTGAATTTCTGCAGTACATCTTGTAGATAGTTCAAACTATTGCTATTATCAGTGGTGAAGGGAATGGATGCTTGCTGCATGAGAGAAGTCCCTCCAAGCCACAGTTCTTTCAGCTTTTATTTTGCCCAGAACATTACCTGGAACTCTGGATTATCACTTAAGGAGGATAAGACGGTTGCGTGAATATGATTTTTGATATTAGCTGTCGATGGGTGAAGGACATATTTGCTCCGTCACAAGTATTTTTGAAGAACAGACCAAATAACCTTGCCCACTATTAAACCACAAAGTACAAAACAACAGTATTATTACAAGGTGGCTGGAGAAATGTTCTGAAAATGTTTTAATACCAGGTTTATTTTTCATTGAAAAGGCTATTACTGTTACCAAAGGAAATAATTCAGTGTATTATTACAACAGAAACATAGAAGATAGGAGCAGAAGGAGGCCATTCGGCCCTCATGAGCCTGCTCCCCCATTCATCATTCAACTCAATAGCCTAATCCTGCTTTCTCCCCTTAACCTTTGACTCCCTTCGTCCCCAAGTGCTACATCTGGCTGTCTCTTGAATACATTCAATGTTTTGCCATCAATTGCTTCCTGTGGTAATGAATTCCACAGGCTCACCACTCTTTGGGTGGAGAAATGTCTCCTTGTCTTTGTCCTAAATGATCTAACCCAAATCGTCAGACTGTCATCCCTGGTTCTGAACTCACTCACCATCAGGAACATCCTCCCTGCATCTACCCTGTCTAGACCTGTTAGAATTTTATAAGCCTCTATCAGATCCCCCCTCATTCATCTGAACTCCAGCAAAATAAATCCTAGCCTAGTCAATCTCCCCTCATAAGTCAGTCCCACCGTCCCCGGAACCAGCCTGGTAAACCTTCGCTGCACTCCCTCGAGAGCAAGAGCATCCTTCCTCAGAAAGGAGACCAAAACTGCACATAATATTCTTGGTATGGACTCACCAAGGCCCTGTATAACTGCAACAAAACATACCTGTCCCTGCACTCAAATCCTCTCGCAATGAAGGCCAACATACTATTTGCCTTCTTTACCGCCTGCTACTCCTACACGCTTACCTTCAGCGACTGGAGCACAAGGACATCCAGGTCCCATTGCACACTCCCCTCTCCCAATTTACAGCCATTCAGGCATAAGTTAATTATTTAGGATTTTTAAAAATACTTAAACATTAAAGTTTTGAGTTAATTTTGCTGAACATTTATACTAATGAAAAGTTTAAAAATCTCTCTCCACTCTGCTCTCCATTACACTACCAATAAAAAATGCTCATGGGTAGATATACGAGGTACTTTTCCTGGTTTGTGTATCTAACACTTTTTATAATGTAATCAAAAACATTTCAATCAAGGATAACTGCACCACTGTTCAACGAATTTAGAGAGGATATAGCTGACTCAAAAATGAGAACTGTCTCAGGTTGATTTCCTGCTGTGTAATAAGTTACTGTATTTACTTCAGCTGGAACAACAGCATGATACCTCAACTGGCTTTAGTACTTTCGGCTATGGAGAGGAAATTCCTCAGAATCCTCACTTTGAACCACTATTCAGCGCTATTTGACTAATACAGACATATGCATAATGGATGAGAAAAGGACTGGTTTGATGTCCCCATAACCCAATAGCCTAGAAATGCTCAACTTTATGGCTGATCCATGAGAAATGTGCAAGGGACGAAGAGGTTAACCTCTAAGATTGCAATCTTAAATAAGAAGTCAAAAAAGTTCAAGGTAGGAGGAATGAAAATTAGAAATTCTATTTTCTTCAGAAATCCAAATTATACTGTATAATACTTCAATGTATAGAATATATTGATTATTTGTTATGCAACAGGCCATTTGGTCTTACAGCAATAGATCACAAAAGGCTTCTTCCATTTTGCTTTCTTTCACCACATAAACTATACTTCTATTCCTTTGTTCCTCACATATTTATCTAGCTTTCTATTAAAACCATCTATACTATTCACCACAACCACTTGACAGCCCAGACTTTCATCTTTGAAGTAGGAATTTTGGATCAGGCCATTACTCAATGTCATAATCATATCTCTTGCTTGGCACTGCTGTGTTCATTCAGCTCTGCACCTTGTTGTCTCGGATTCTCCAGCATTTGCAGTTCCTACTATCTCTTACTTGGCACTGTTTGCCAATGCCATTTTTATCATGGATGGCAGTGGCAGCCTAGTGGGAGGGTTGTCATTTCTTGAAAGAGGCAGAAACTGAGATGGGTGTGGATACCTTGGCAGCTGAGTTATAAGTCTTACCTGGGTTACTTGGTTTAGCAGCAAGTAAGAGGCCCTCTAAAACATTACCTTCTTCTCCCCTATGACACCTCATCATCCTACATGGCACCTTCATTCCATCTCAGTCCCCCAAATCGCCACACTTGTCCCACGCCCACTTATCCAGTATCCACTCTTTCAAACTCATGAGCCCTATAATAGCATTTGGAATTTGTTTAGATGTTCATGATACAGTCAAAACAGTCATTCAAAACCACTTCTAAAAACAATCCTTTTAGATGGTAATCAAACTGTCAAATTAATTCATGGCACTCTCCACAGCTATATCGATAACCCAGTCTGAGCTAAATCCATTTGTCGGGAGTTGGAAATTAGCCAAGCATCCATAATAGGATGTCACTGCACAGCTGTATTAATAAAGCCTCCAGAGCTGATACATTAATACCTTGCTCTGAAGGAAGTCAGCTTTGTGAAGTATGGACAGCATAACAAAAAAAAAAGACACATCACTGGCAGAATTGCAGTTAAATCTGAATACAAATATTGTTCAATGTAGAAAACACTTATCCATTGGAGAAAATACGCTAATGCATTTTAACACTTCTCCACTGTTATGATGTTGGTCACTTGCTCTTTCTAAATAAAAAAGCCCCATGGCATTTAAATATATTTCACATTATGACCTGTGAAGTTGTCTCTTTGTGAACTTACCTGACAAAAAGTTCCTGACTCCAGACTAGAGATACTCCATGGCTCATAACTCCACTGAATTATTACAAACAATGTCACTTAAAAAAACAATCCAAGTACATGAAAAAAGTGGGGCATTTAAAATGCCCACCTCTGCAATGGAGCTGGTCATGGTCATAATATTGTGTATGGTCTCTCTACCCATACCTTTATCCCGCACCCTTACAAAATTCCATATAAGTTTCAATACAAAACTCAAATATGTGTGGTATAAATAGCTTGAAATATGTTTTGTAAAATTTATTTTCATACAAAGTTTTACAGTTATTTCAATTTGTAGCAGTTTAAGCTGGGTTAATATAATTCAGCATTAATAATTAGCTATTGAAACTTTTACATATGCAAATAAGGCATTTCTGAAATAGGCTGGAGAGGATCAGCCTCCTTTGATTAAATTCACAAATAAAAGTCTGTGTAATGAATTTCAGTGCAACAGCCTTCAGTCTATGTAATGAATTTCAGTGCAACAGCCTTCAGTCTATGTAATGAATTTCAGTGCAACAGTCTTCAGTAGGACTCAATCTTGTAGAAGTATAAAAAGAGAAACCACATACAGTAACAAGTAATTCAGCTATTCATCTGACTTACTGAGTTTTCATTCTGAGTTTTAGATTTTGCCATATTTGGCTGTGCGTAACTTAGCAAAATTTTAGAAAACATAAACATGTAAAATATTACAACTTAAATTTCTTTTCTGCTTCGTCAGCAATGATTTCACCAATAGCTAAGGATGAAGTTGCTGCAGGAGAAGGGGCATTTCGAACGTGAAGAACACGGCTCCCAATTGCACCAGAACCTCCATCAAACACAAAGTCATCCACAAGATTGCCATCTTTGTCCAAGGCTTGGGCTCTTACTCCAGACGGCCCTCTGCAGAACACAGCATACCCTAGAGGTTATTTAAGTTATCGCAGAATACAAACTAATTCTATATATGGAAAGATTACCCTGGCATTTAATTTAAATTATATGGTATGGTAATCAGCTCATGCATCAGATGACATCATGTTATCAGTCCTTTTGCAGAATTCTGTTACAAAATTGAAGACTCTGACCACATACATAAAATCAATGAGATTTTATATCTGTGTTATGATTGGGATCGTTAATTCCATAGTTTGCACTGACTCTCATGAACAAACCTTAACAAATCCTCAATATTCAATTGTATATGTTAAAAAGATCGTTTTTCAAAATCATAAGCCAATATTGAAGAAAAAAATTACAGATCAAAATGTTGAACATCAGATTGATTTACATCAAACTCCTTTTCTAATTTTGTATGCCTAAACTTCGAATTATTTTTATTAGATTTCTGAAGAAGGGTTCCGACCCAAAACGTCAGCTTTCCTGCTCCTCTGATGCTGCCTGGCCTGCTATGTTCCTCCAGCTCCACACTGTGTTATCTCTGACTCCAGCATCGGTAGTTCTTACTATCTCTTAGAATTATGCACTTTGCTTTCCACTATCCCCTTATAGCTGAGACAAGAGAACCATTTGGGGCATTATAAATCTGTATTTTGGTAACATGTAACTACCCATCATGGTGTATTTGCAATGGTGTATATGTTTAGAACATAAGAACCAGGAGCAGGAGTAGGCCATCTGGCCCTTGGAGCCTGCTCAGCCATTCAGTAAGATTACAGTTGATCTTTTCATGGCCTCAGTTCCACTTGCCCACCCTCTCACCATAACCCTTAATTTCTTTACTGTTCAAAAAATTATGTATCTTACCTTTAAAAACATTCAGTGAGGAAGCCTCAACTGCTTCACTGGACTGGGAATGCCACAGATTCACACCCCTTTGGGTGAAGAAGTTCCTCCTCAAATCAGTTCTAAATCTGGTTCCCTCTAATTTTGAGGCTATGCCCTCTTGTTCTAGTTTCACCCACCAGTGCAAACATCTTATCTATTCCCTTCATAATTTTATATGTTTCCATAAGAACCCCTTCGTTCTTCTAAATTCCTAGTCTATTCAGCCTATCCTCATAAGCCAACCCTCTCAACTCTGGAATCAACCCAGTGAGTTTCTTCTGCACCCCTACAAGTGCCAGCACATCCTTTCTCAAGTAAGGAGGCACGCAGTCCTCCAGGTGTGGTCTCACCAGCATCCTATACAGGTGCAACATAACCTGCAAACTAACCTTCTGCAATTCATGGACAAGGACACCGAGGTCCCTCTGCACAGCAACATGTTGCAATTTTTACCGTTCAAATAATAGCCCCTTCCTACTCTTATTCCTACCAAAATGGATGACTTCATATTTATCAACATTGAATTCCATCTGTTAGACCTTTGTCCACTCATTTAAACTATCTATATCCCTCTGCAAACTTGCAGAGTTCTCTGCACACTTTGCTCTACCGCTCATCCGCAAACTTTGACACATTACATGTGGTCCCCAACCTCAAATCAGCTATGTAAATTATAACTGCAATCCCAACACTAATCCCTGAGGCACACCACTAGTCACTGTTCACCAACCAGAAAAGCACTCAATTATCCCCACTCTTTGCTTCCTGTTTGTTAGCCAATTCTTGATCCATGCTAATACATTGCCTGAAATGCATGCACCTTTATCTTATGCAGCAGCCTTTTGTGCGTCACCTTGTCAAATGCCTTTTGGAAATCCAGATACACCACATCTACTAAGTCCCCGTTGTCTAGCACACTCATAAGATCCAGCAAATTAATCAAGCATGACCTGACTTGCATGAACCTATGCTGCATCTGCCCAACAGGACAATTTCTATCTAGATATCTTACTATTTGTTCCTTGATGACAGATTCAAGCATTTTCCCCACTACAGAAGTTAAGCTAACTGGCCTGTAATTCCCCATCTTTTGTCTACTTCCTTTTTTGAACAGGGGCGTCACATTGGCTGTTTCCCAATCTGCTGGAACTGCCCCAGAGTCCAGCGAATTTTGGAAAATTACCACAAGTGCATTTGCTATTACTCCTGCCAACTCTTTTAGTACGCTGGGATGCATTCCATCAGGGCCAGGAGACTTGTCTACCTTTAGTTCTATTAGCTTGCCCAACACTACCTCTTTCATGATAATGATCATGTCTAGGTCCTCACCTTCATTACTCTCTTTGTCATTAATTACTGGCAAGTTATTTGTGTCCTCCACTGTGAAAACAGGCACAAAATAGCTGTTCAATGCCTCAGCTATTTCCTCATTTCCCATTATTAAATCTCCCTTCTCACCCTCTGAAGGACCAATGTTTACTTTAGCCACTCTTCTTTGTTTTATATCTTTATAGAAACTTCTTCTATCTGTCTTTATATTCTGAGTTGGTTTAATCTCATAATCTATTTTACTCTTCATTGTAGCCTTTTTTTGTGGCTTTCTGTTGACCTTTAAAATTTTCCCAATCTTCTCGTTTCCCACTGGTCTTTACCACTTCATATGCCTTATCTTTCAATTTGATAGCCTCCCTCATTTCCTTAGACATCCATGATTGATTACCCAATTTCCAACAGTCCTTTTTACCGGTACATACTTTTGCTGAGCACTTTGAAAAATTGCTTTGAAAGTCCTCCACTGTTCCGCAACTGTCCCACCTTAAAATCTTTGTTTCCAGTCTCCTTTAGCCAACTCCTCTCTCATCATATTGTCGTCTCCTTTGTTTAAGCACAGGACCTAGTATTGGATTTTACCTTCTCACTTTCCATCTGTATTCTAAACTCAACCATATTGTGATTGATCCTTTCAAGAGGATCCCTAACTATGAGATCATTAATTATCCCTGTCTCGTTACACCGGACCAGATCTAGGATATCCTCATCAGTTCCATTACATACTGTTCAAGAAAGTTATTGTGGATACGTTTAATGAACTCCTCCTCAGGGCTGCCTTGACCAACCTGGTTCAACCAATCAACATCCCCCATAATAATTGCCATACCATTTTTACAGACATTAGTTATTTCTTTGTCTATTGCCCATTCCAATATGATATTATTACTTGGTAGCCTATAGACTATGCCTAACAGTGACTTTTTCTTCTTAGAATTTCTAATTTCCACCCCAATGGATTCAACTTTATTCTCCATAGAACCCATATCATCTCTCACTACTGCCCTGGTGTTGTCCTTAAATATCAGAGTAACATCACCCCCTTTACCTTCCTGTCTGTCCTTCTGAATAGTCTGATATCCTTGGGTATTTAATTCCCAGTTGTGACCATCCTGCAACCATATCTCCATAATGGCTACTAAATAATACCCATTTGTGATAATTTGTGCCCTTAACTCATCTACCTTGTTTCGAATGCTACTAGCATTTAGGTAAAGTGCCTTTATGCTAGTTTTTATACCTTTTTTTTGAATTCTAACTTCTCCATTAATAATATCTCCCGAGTTTTCCTTCCTCTTAACTTCCTTCGTAGCCCTCGGTATAGTTAAACCCTCCTGCATAAATGTTAACCAGCTATTTCCTTTTCTACTTACCATTATACCTCCTGTTGTTTTCCCCTTCCTTTCCCCCAGTTCACTAATTTAAAGTCCTAGTGACCACCTATTTATCCTTTTTGCTAGAACACTGGTTCTAGATCGGCTCATGTTTCTTCCACCACGCTAAATGCCATTGCATTTAAAAGCTCATGGGAGCAGGGGCAACTTGACTCTGGACACTGTTCCACCATTCAGTTACTTTCTTCTTAAGTAAATTCCTTAGGATAACTTCACACTTTACCATGTTGTATATCATCTGGAATCTGGAATGAAGAGTTCTATGGACCATTGCCAATTGTCAGGAAAAACCCATCTGGTTAACTAAAGTCCTTTGGGGAAGGAAACTGCCATCCTTACCTGGTCTGGCCTATATGTGACTCCAGACCTACAACAATGTGGTTGACTCTTAACTGCCCTCTGGGCAATTTGGGATGAGCAATAAATGCTAGTCTAGCCAGTGACACTATTGTCCCATGATGAATAAAAATAAAATAATGAAGTATGAAGCTGTAATGTTGGAGGATACTGTAGTGAATATTGCTATGTGCTAATTCAAAACATTTCTAATTCAGAAAGGATTAATGGGACAGTAACTGACCAGTTTGAATTTGTTACAGAGATAGTAGGCACTGCCAATGCTGGAGAATCCGCCTCCTTGACCTGTCTGTCTTCTCTCCACCTGTCTTCTCCTTTATCCATCTTCTATCCGCCTCCCCCTTTCTCCCTATTTATTTCAGAATCCTGTTCCCCTCCCCCATTTCTGAAGAAGGGTCTAGACCCGAAACGTCAGCCTTCCTGTTCCTCTGATGCTGCTTGGCCTGCTGTGTTCATCCAGCTCTACACCTTGTTATCTCAGTTTGAATTTGTCATGCTTTTTGTGGACAGAACAAACCTGAGCAATTTTCTGTGTTAAAGTACTGACATCTACGTAACATATATACTGGAAGAGCTTGAGTAGAGGCGTAAATAATTCTGGAACACCACAGCCTTTGCTGTATTCACCGCACTCAGCTATTTCTTTGTCATGTGCAGGCTGACTTCTGTAATGGTGCAGACATCAGGAGAAGGCCACGATACATAATCTGTTCAAAGCCTACTCCTGCTTCTGTTTCTTGAGCTCTTGTCTATGATTTCTGCCTTTGTTGACTTTGATCAAGTTTTTTTTCTGTTCCCAATACTTCTTTCTTTCTCTGGGAAGACATGACAATTTAAATATAATATAGCAAAGTGCAAAGTTTTCTTCTACAGTGGGAAACAAAAAAAGCTAACAATTTGTTGATTGCCGAAGACTGGAAAATGTTTGAATTCAGAGGAACTCTGGTGATCTTATATATGAAGTATAGAATTTAAATACAGGTTCAGCAAGCAATTAAGAAAGTAATTTCTATATTAGCTTTTGTTACTAAGGGATTGGAGTATAAACATAAAGAAGTCTTACTACTGCAATTATGCAAGGCGTTGGTGAGGTCACACCCAAGGTAGTGTCTTTAATTTTGTATGAGGAAAGACATACCTGCTCTAAAGGGAGTGCACAATGTTAACTAGACTAGTTCCTGAGATGATGACATTGTGTTCGGTAGATAAATTCAGTAGTCTATATTCCCTGGAGTTAAGAAGAGTTGGATGCGATCTAATTAAAAATTAGAAATTCTTAAGTGCTTGACAGGGTAGATGCTGAGAAAATGTTTTCCCTGGCTTGGGAAATCTAGAATACAGGATCAGATTTTAAATAAGGGCTTTATCATTTAGGATTGAGACAAACAGAAATTTCTCAAAACAGAGTTTTCTTTTATTGAAGTCTTTACCAGAGAGCTGTGGATATTGAGTATATTTAAGGCAAAGATGAATAGATTTTGGGGTACTAGGTGAATCGAGGCATATCTGGAGAGTGCAGGGAGTAAGAACTGAGGTAGAATATTTGGCGTAATACTGCAGAATGGCAAAGGGGAGGGGAGAAATGGAGGAAGCTCCTCACCATTTGGAGTCATACCTAACAAAAGGGAAGTCAGTGGAGGATGTTAGGGGGCAACAGGATAAGTCTCAGGCTTTTGATACAGGAGTTCCTCAGGTGGTGCCCTGGGATCAACCACTTTCACTCACTTCATTAATGACCTTCCCTAAATTTTTTGTTGTTCATTTCATGGGATAAGGCTGTTTCTGGCTTGGCCAGCACTTACTGACCATCCCAGAGGGCAGTTATGAGTCAACCACATTACTGTGGGTGTGCAGTCATATGGAGGCCAGACCAGGTAAGGATGGCATTATCCTTCTCTGAAGGATACTAGCAAACCAGATATGTTTTGCTGACAAATGACGATGGATTCATGGTCGTTATTAGACTCTTAATTCTAGAAATTTTTATTGAATTCAAATTCCACCATCTGCCATAGTGGGAATCAAACCTAAGTCCCCAAAACATTAGCTGAGTCTCTGGATTAATGGTCTAGTGAAAATACCACTAGGCCATCACTTCCCCCTAAGGTCAGATCAATGATCAATACTATCCACATTGCTCAGTTGCTGAAGTACTCCATGTTGATATACAGCAAGGCAGAACATAATGGCAGCATGGTGGTTAGCACTGCTGCCTCACAGCACCAGGGACACGGATTCACTTCAACTTTGGGTGACTGTCTGTGTGGAGTTTACACGTTCTCCCTGACTCTGCATGGGTTTCCGCCAGGTACTCCGGTTTCCTCCCACAGTCCAAAGATGAGCAGGTTAGGTGGATTGGCTATGCTAAATTGCCCATGGTAGACAAACAGGAGGCTGGAAAAACACTGCAAGCCAGGCAGCATCTGGAGGAAAGGAGTAGACAACGTTTCAGGTATAACCCTTCTTGCCTATAGTATCCAGGCTGAGTGGATTAAGGAAATGCAGGTTTACAGGGATGAGGTGGGTCCGGGTGGAATGCTCTTTGGAGGGTAAGTGTGGATTCAATGGGCCCAATGGCCTGCTTCCACACTGTAGGGATTCTATGATTCTATTCTACAACATTCAGGTTTGAGCTGATAAGTGACATTCAGCCACCACAAGCGTTGGGCAATAATAATCTCCAACAAGAGAGAATCTAATCTCCTACTACTGGCTCTACTACCATTGAATCCTCCACATCCTGGGGCATACCACTGGTGAGAAACTTAACCGGACCAGCCATATAAATACCACATCTACAAGATCAGGTTAGGGATTATTCTGAGACAAGCAACCTTCACACCTCCTAAGGCTTATTTCCTACCTAAAAGGCACAAGTGAGGGGTATGATGAATTGGTCTTTGCATTGATTGGATGACCACACTCCAGGAAAACTCAGGAAGTTTGATCCCTTTCAGGGCAAAGTTTTTCACTTGACTGGCACCCAATCCACCACCTTCAACACTGACTCATTCCACTTCCGATGCACAGTGACAGCAGTGTGCAACATCTATAAGATGCACTGCAGCAACTGACCAAGACTCCTTTGATAGCACCTTCCAAATACAACACTTATACTACTTAGAAAAACAAGGACAGCAGACGTATGGAAACACCACCTGCAACTTTTCCTCCAAGCAACACACCATCCTAACATCACTGTTCCTGGGCCAATATTTTGGAACCCCTTTCCTAACAGCACAATGAGTGAACCGATACCACAGTCTATGGCAGTTCAAGACAGGGCTCAACTCCACCTTCTCCACTGCAATTAGAGGTGGGCAATTGCCAGTAAAGCTCACATTCCATGAACGATATTTTAAAAATATAGGCTTGAAGATTTGATTGGATCTATCCTGCTTCTATTTCGTATATTCTTATGCCCGATTATGCCTCCATGTATTGTCTTTGGACTGTTTACATTAAAGGCACTGGAATTGCAAATCATTGGCACTTGCTGTTGTTTCTGGCTCAAGATCACAGACCTGAAGCAGTTAACTGTGTTTCCATCATAAATGCTGCCTGACCTGCCGCATATTTTCAGTGTTTTTTCATTTAATTGTGGTCGCAGCTTTCATAACTTATGTCACCTAACCTGCTTTATCTAACTAGTTTGAACAGCTGATCCATTTAACCAAGTTTAAAAATTATTATATTTAAGATCAATGAAATTTTCTCAAAAATTATGGTTTCCTTTAGTAAAAAGATCTACATCTCTTCAGTTATTCCAATAACTAGTTTAAAGATTCCTCAACTGTCACTTCAATGGATTTTCTCTGAACCAACCCTTTGATATTCCTGACAAAACCTGATCACAATGTGCTAAATTTGGCCTAACCAAGGCCTTAGAATTTTATTAAAAATTTAATTGTCCAGGCATTGTGTCCTAATGATCGATTTATTTTTGTATTATCCTGCTACACTGATCTTGGACTCACGATAACCCTTCTGCCAACTTGGTAGTCCTGAGCAGGTCTTCCTATATTGTGATACATTTCACTAGTTCTTAAATTGTTACAAGGTGTCTCATCTCTAAAATACTATCTTAAAGGCTATTCTGTGTTGATCTTCTGGCACGAGTACAATTAGATCTTGCCTGACTCAAAATATTATACATTAATAGTAAAGATTAACTTTCCTTTATCCTTAATTGCATAGATATAAAATACCATTCTTGACATTGAAAAACTTACATTTCTCCAATTTTTCCTTGCAACTCAGATAGTTTATATTAAGAATCTGTGTAGATCAAATCCATAGACTATTGCATCCCCTTGCATGCAGCTTGGTGCTCAGAAGAAATAGTTACTAAATTATTACAAAACTAAGCAGAATAATTAAGATGCAGTTTAATCAGAGCCATATAAACTCTGTTATATATTTTCTGACTTCTGGCTATTTATCAAACATTTTATTGGCTTTGTTGATTATTGACCTACATTGGTTGGTCATATTCAGCATCAAACTTACCAAGTCTCCCAAGCCCCTAAATACCATGTAACTCCAATAAATTAGAGAACAGCGCAGAAACATAAGTAATACACAAATCTTGCACCTCAAAAGGAAAAGTCAGATCTTTAACACTAGCCGTTGCAACTCGTATCAGATCTAGTAATCATAACATCTTTAATAAATTAAGGAAAAAAGTGTACTAAATTTAGAAGTGGCCTTTTCTCACACAAGAATGCAATAAATCCATTTGTTCTTTCCAGGTGGAATAATAATTTGTTTCTTCCAACTTGAAATACTGTATTCACTGCTCACAATGTGTTCTGGTATACTTTCGAGATATCCAATGCAGATTGGATAACCAGTTTGCAGACCACCTCCACTCCATCCACAAGTGTAACCTTCAGCTTCTAGTCACCGAGGCATTTTCACTCCCACTCTGACTTCTCTGTCCTTGATCTCTTACACTGTTCTAATGAAGGTCAATGGAAACTCACAGCACAACACATTATCTTTCAATTAAGTACTTTACAGACGTCTGGACTAAAACGAATTCAATATTTTCAGTAAATTAATTGAATGCACTTTTTTCAGTCAGCTGTTGGTAACTTTTTTGTTATTGCCATTTACACAAACCTTCCCACTTGTTTCTTTCCTGCTTTCCTTTTTAGGACATTGTGTTGGCTTAAAACCTATTCTATCTCTATTCTTTTTACCACTTCTGATGAAAGATCATCAAACAAAAACATTAACAGTTTCTCTTTCCATTGATGCTAGCTGACCTACTGAGTCTTTCCAGCATCCACAATATTTTGGTTTTGTTGTGTTTTTCAGTAATTAATTGATCTAGTAACAGTTAGTAGCAGGTGGATTGTGTAGTCTTGAAAAACATTTCCTATTTTACTTGAAGATCAGTAAAGATCAAGACAACATTTTCTATGACTGCAGCAAACTGATTTATAGAGAGGTCTAATAAGTAACAGATAAAATCATTATGGTGATGGCAACAAACCCAAGGGACCAGAGATAAAGTAAATCAGAAACAGAGATGAAAACAGTTGAGATTCAACATGCTCCATATATTCTTACTACTCACCTTGTGACATCATTCACGGTGAGTGCTGGTATGTACCTTTGAAGCTGTTTCACTTGGGCACCCATTACAACTCCTCTGTACATTTCATTCAAGCCAAAGGCTATATTTTTCAATATAAGTTTTTGGACGCCACTGGTACAGACAAGATGGAGATTTTTTTCAACGCTTTTGAGAATTTCAATTTATTAAGATCTAAATACAACCTGAACCAACTTTCAAAACTTAACAGATAAAGAATCAATTATTTTGGTAAAAGTTGGATGAATGATCATGCTTTTCTTACTTGAAAATATTTTCATATAAATATGTGCAAAACACCATATATGGTAAAATAGTTATAAAAGCAGATGTATGATAAGAACCCCAAGATATGTTATAGGATGGATTTTCTTTCATGAATGTGAGATTTCTGGAACAATTACCATTTGTGGTTAATGCACATTTCAGGTTTTTCAAGTCATTAATAGGCTTCGTGGCACAGATAAATTGCTTTTATTAACTTGTCTAACATTAGTAATTAAAAGTGCTATCTGATATGTGATTTGAACAGGAACAATATTATTTTCTTTGAGTAACTTAAAGTTTATGCCTAATTAATACATTTAATGAACAGTTGGTACCTGAAAAGAATGAACTGGAATTGTAACAGTTTAGTCAATGTTGGAAGGTATAGTTTGATTTTAAAGTTGTTCAGTAATCTACTCTAATTCTAATACATTCATATATATTGCAAAGATTCAAATTGGACACATAGTTCATACCTATAGGACATGGCATCTGCAAAATCGTGTGGGTCAAAATCAAAAACATTGTAACCTTCTCGTTTAAATGCCAAAACTGCATTTGGTCCAAGCCAGACACTACCATCCATTCTGGGCGTAAAGTGCACACCAAGGAAAGGAAACTTTGGATCTGGAACCTATAAATCAAAAGATAGCTTAAAGAATCATTACTGAAATATTCAAAGAATGCCACTGAAGAAATGCTTTTTGATCTGATTGTTTCATTAAGTATTAAGAACTAAAAGAAGTGGATACAATTTCTGACAAAGACTTTATTGGTTGGATGATATAGAGTTTAGTCTACCATACTCAGTGGCACAAGCCTATCCATAAATAAAACATAGCCACTATATTTATCACTATGGAAAGAGAGTGTTTACCACACAGCACCATCTTACCTGGTTTGCCAATTTAGAGCGTAAATTTTCAATAACTTGCTTAATATATAATGGCATCCACAGTATTGGTATACTACACACTTTGCAATTCACAGCAAAACATCAACAAAATAAACTGCAGTTTGGGACGTCTCACACTCCTTTACTTTTCACAAATTATTTAATTATATTATGTAAAATGATGCCCTTTGTGCTTCCCTCTCCAGACCAAACCACCACCATTCAGCGCAGGTATTAATCAAGTGGCATCCTAACAAAATAAAGGTACCAGTCTAGTGATGATGTCAGTATTAAACACAACATTTCCACTGAAGTAAACGATAATTTTGGAAATCAGTCATGCAGCATCAATCTTATAACAGTTCTGTAGTACCTTTTTCTTGAACACTGCATTTTTTCTTGGACAAATTTTGACTACTTTGCCACACCCAATGAGTTTATGCATTTTTCACACACAAGAATGAATTTTCACAAAAGTAAAGTGTCCCTTCGTCAAAGGTGTCCCAAGACCAGATTCAAAGGTGTACCTTATATCTCCAAAAGGAGAGAAGCGTAAAACATTCCTGCAGCCCTCAAACCTCCCACTCAGTGCCGCATAATCTCCAGGTCCCTCTCCTGCCAATCCATGCAACCAAATGCCCTTTAGTCACCAGCCCCCACCCAACCCCAGCCTTCATGTCCCTATGCCACCTGAATGCTTACTTCCACCTACCATCCTTGCCCTGTACCATTCTAAATTATCTACAGATGCTACACATATAAGAGAAAAGCTATTGGTGGAATTTTCCCCTTCCCAGTGTAGCATGAGCAATAGTATGTAGAAATCAGAATCTTCTTGAACATTCGATCAGAATCAATCAGGTGTACCATCATAGTCAGTCAAGGGGCTTGTCAGATTCTAGTCTAAGGGGCTAGTTATGGTTAGTCAGGTACTTGGTCCTAGCACAGCCAGGGGATGTTTTTCGCTGTGGTCTGGAAATTGACCATGGGCAGTCCTGTAGGTTAAGTGGAACCAGTCCAAAGCCTAATGGTGGGTCAGTCAGGATGCTTTGGGAGAGTGAGAGACAGAGGTTTGCTCAATAATGGAGAGAGTGCTTATTAGGGTGCACACTATGGAGTTCTGGACAAATTGGCAATTCAAATCTGGAGATGGATTTCTTTCATGACCGAGTGCAATGAAACAGTGACCGTGATTAGGCGCAATTCTAGATTGAAAGTGGGACCTCATGGACATTAGGATGGATTATTGTGAGTTTTGTCTTTTACATGAGGCTGCATCGGCCATCAGAGGTATGGACATTTTCAAAGATTATTGGTTCTGGGGGTAACGTGAGCATGTTAATTATAAAGTGGCTCAACCGAAATAGTGGGAGACTGAAAGGTCATAGTGGCCACAGAGACAGCAACACAAAAGGGAAAAAGAAGGATGGTGGCGAAAACATTGCCTTACAGGCAAAGCCTGTATTTCACTTATTAGAACATGATGTTGAAACCTTGCCAAATTGAATCTAAAGTCAACTGCATAATAGCTACTAAAAAAAAGGTTGACATTGAGAGCAAACTGGGTGGTCTAAATTAGAACCATAGAACAGTTACTGTATAGAAAGTGATTATACAGCTCACAGATGCCCATTCTAATCCCACTTTTCAGCATCTTGTCTGTAGCCTTGCAAGTTACAGTGCTTCAGATGCAGATTCAGGTTCCATTTAAACGAATTGAGGTTTCTGCCTTAACCAGGCAGAACTAGGCAATGAATTCCAGAAACCCATCACCTTCTGGATGAAAAGGTCCGCCTCATGTCACTTCTGATCCTTAGACCAATTAACTTAAATCTGCATCCCCTGGTAACTGACTCTACTCCAGGGCAAACAGGTCTTCCCTATTCACTCTAAGCCCGTCATTATTCATACACCTTAATTAAGTCACCTGTCAGCCTCCTCTGTTCAAAGGAAAATAACTCAGCTTATCCAAATCTTTCCTCATGACTAGAATTTTCAAGCCCTGGCAACATTGTTGTATTCCTCTATATTCTCTCTAGAGCAATTATGTCCTTACTGTAATGTGGTGACCAGAACTACACACAACCCTCCAGCAGTGGCCTAACCAATGTCTTACATATTCTAGTATTATATTCCTACTATTGTATTCAATACCTCACCCAATGAAGGAATGGATCCCAAATAGCTTCTTTATCTATATCTACTTGTCCTGCCACCTCAGCAACCAGTGTACATGCACACCAAGGTTTCTCACTTGCTCTGCCCTCTCAATACCCTCCTGTTTATAGTGTATCTCCTTGCTTTGTTTGCTCTCCTCAAATGTATACTCTCACACTCCTCTGGATTGAATTCCATTTGCCTCTTTTCCACCTACTCAACCCGCAGAAGACAGCCAACCTCTTCATGATTAATTGCACAACCAATTTTTGTGGAATCTATAAATTCCCCAATCATGCCTCCCACATTCAAGTCTAAATCACCTACATAAATAGCAAACAGCAGGGACCCAATACTGAGCCATGTGGCATACAATTGGAAACCACTTTCCATTCAAAAATGTTAAACATCTGCCAACCTTTGTTTCCTGTGGTGTTACTGACATAATTTTAATCCCAATGTAGCATCAAAATTTTGACTGAGCACATATCTCAGAGCCCCTTGTGTAGGCATAACAATGTCCTTGGGAAGCCTCCACACCAAACCGTGGAAAGGTATAACATGAGGCTTCATTGCTTTGGATGTGAGGTCTGAGGAGTTCCTTCAATAAACACTTGGGAAAAGGATCACTCTCCCCATCACCAGCAGCTCCAGGTCCCTATTTGCAAAGCATTGTGTGAACTTTCATTTCCATAGTGAAGAGCTGTTCCTGGATTGCAGGCTGGACTTTAAATATGGCACTTGCAGCATGAACCCATGGCATTGACAAGGACTTCCACTTCCTGCCATGCCTGTAAATGTGATTCAACAAGAAGGGCACCAAAGAACTATGTTGCATGATTAATGAATTGAAGAATGGAAGATTGCATCAGAAATGTTGCTCCAAGCCGCGGCAGATCGAACGCGGTGAATCTCATTTGACATAACACCTCACCTGCACATGGGAAAATTGCATCCTTTGGGTTTCTGTTACTTCAGTTCTTATACTGCAGACGACACTCCAGTGAGAAAAGCACTTTACTTCATAAAGCACATTTTAATATATAGATAACGAGTCTACATTTATTAACATTTCTTGACCGGTCTTGACAAGCTGTGCAATTCCAGGGGCTTCATGCAACCTTTATGCACAATCTTCTTAATATTTAACAGTCTCAAAGGGCACCTGATCACCCCTCAAAAAGATCTCTGACTCCACCCCCAACAGATATCAGACACCCAACCTCAAGTGACCCTTAACTGTCCCCCATCTCCAAGGTTGACTGGGATCAGGGATACCACATACGTGCAAAAGGGTACCGTGGTAATCTAAAAGAAATGCACTGACCACCAGGCTGCTTCTACCTGGTCTAATCTCCACACTGTGGTTTCCAGACACCTGAGTTTCCAAAATCCAATTTCAGCTGATGCAGTTGGTGAGTTAAATGGCCGACAGCCTCAGGGAGCCCCACATGTTAAAACTAGGACCCACCCACCAAAATATCTCCTGAAAAAATGAGATGGGCTAGATTTGGGGTGGTATTTGAGATTCCCAATTTCTTCTGGTATTTTTGCCACAATGGAGGTGTTCTACATCATGGTGAAAACCGGAGCCTTAGTGTTTCACGTAGTCAGCTGGACAGTCATTTGAGTTTATATCCAAATGAGGCAAGGGAATTTGACAGACATGTTGCTGCAACCTTGGAATTTCTCTTTCTGGATATAAACTTTGTTAATTGCAAAGCAATTGGCGACACTGTCCTTTTCAAAATTAACTACCCTCACCCTAAACATATATTTCAATATTTCTACCCAATTTTGTCTGTATTCTAGCAGAAAAAAAAAATCAAAAGGTTTGAAAAATGTAAAATGTATTTTGAAGAAGGGTCACGGGACCTGAAATGTTAACTCTGCTTTCTCTCCACAGATGCAGCCAGACATGCTGAGTTTTCCCAGCTATTTCTGTTTGTGTTTATAATCTCTTGTGCACTTGCTAAAGTCAAAATAAAACATGATTTACATTTCAAATACTTACAGGATAAATGTTGCCTTTGACTAAGTAGTGTTTTTCAGGTTTTAGCACCAAGTAATCTCCCCGAAAAGGCACTATTCGTGGCTCACTACTGCAGCCTGATTTCTGGGACAGCCTGTCTGAATATAGACCTCCACATGTCACAACGTAGCTGCAATGTATTGCAGATCCCTGTTAAAAAAAAGTCAGATACAAGCCATTAATTACCTACCAATTAAAAAGATCAAGCATGTACCACAAGAAGTATGATAGGGTTAGATATATTCTTAACTTTTCCACTGGGGCTCTTTTAAGTAGATCTGAATTAAAAAGTAAGTTTTTTTTATAAAAGTAAATGCAGTATGCTGATGGGGGTTGAGTAAACGTACCATATGGGCAGCATGGTCTTAGTTTTAAACATAGGCCCATGTGGAACCAAAGTCATAATAGAGAAATTACAGAGATAGTGGGAACTGCTGATGCTGGAGAATCTGAAATAACAAGCTGTCGAGCTGGATGAACACAGCAGGCCAAGCAGCATCAGAGGAGCAGGAAAGCTGACGTTTCGGGTCTAGATGCTTCTTCAGAAATGGGCCATTTCTGAAGAAGGGTCTTGACCTGAAACGTCAGCTTTCCTGCTCCTCTGATGCTGCTTGGCCTGCTGTGTTCATCCAGCTCTATACCTTGTTATCTATAGAGAAATTACAGTTGCCCTGAATTGCCTGATCAGATAAATGAACAAAACATATGAAACATGCTGTATTCAAATGGTCAGATGGTGACCTAATCATTAGAAAATTTCTAGGCCATCTTTCAGTGTTTTCTGTGCTATTTGAAGGGATAGTGTGTTGTAACTGATGACACAGAGTGTCTGGGTTAAGTTCTGATTTAAAACAGATGCAGCATACTAGATGAGCAGTGTACTATTTGTCAGCTAAACAACGTGTGGTTGATCACACTGTTACCACGTTATGCTGTATAAATATTGTACAGTTGATTGAATGACAAAAAACTGCATGGAAATAGCTTATATGAGTAGCCTGAACAAGCTGGCCTGAGGTCAAGGTGTATTAAACCCAAGGGTTAAGCCTTTTCTACTGAAAACAAACAATGATCTTAATGTTCAAAAGACTAAACTGACTACAGCAGATGACACATTTGTGATGTCTGCCAGTGGTCAGATTGATCAATCATTGAAGACTGGACAGTGTTGAGATTTGATTACACATGCTGCTTGCACAGAAAAGTAATATAAGAAAGGATGTTTCAGACTGCTAATTAACCAGCTGAGGAACAAAAGTCAGTGGTTGGAAGCTGACATGGAGTGGCTGATCACATATCAGTCTGGTCTTCATCCAAGTCCAAGTAAATGGTTTTCACTGGTGATTGTAACTATTGTATGGGTAAGCTTGTGGTATATTACTATTATTGTTATATTTTGCAGTATACATTGCTTCAATAAAGAACGAATGGGTATATCCCATTGTTAGGGTTGCATGGATTATTAATATCCAGCGTAAACTTGACATACCAGGGAAAATAGGAATAAAAGCCTACATCCTCAGCATCCTTTTTATTTGTGGAGCGGGGTGATGGTGGTAGTAAAAAGGAGGAAAGGCAGAGAGGGGGACCAATGTTTTGGCCCACTTATCCAAAACGAAAATAAATGAACATTTTGCCTCAAAATGCAAGTAAGAAATTGTGCTTTATCTGCTTAGGCAATCACTAAGCAGATGGGAGACACAGCCAACAAATGGCAATCCAATAAAAGTGAGAGACCATATTAAAAACTGCTTTACTCCATATTTCTTCCTTACTCCTCATTCTTCAAACAAATAACAATAGTTCTATACTATCTTTAAAAATTGATTATTTCTGTCTGAACGCAGACAATGAGCAACCAACCAGAAGCTGGCAATATACCTCATAAATGTAATGCCCCATTCTTCCCCGAGTTTCAAATCGAACATCCGGTGCAATCTCAAAGAAAGTTTCAACCTCACATTTATTGTATTACTTAGACCCTCTTTTACAAGTCAAACACATTTGTATCTACTTTAGACTTCACTTCTGTAATACTCATGCCTCTTTCCCCTTCAGTCCACCAATAATTTTTCCAAGGATCTCTTTCAAGATTGCATAGAGTCATAGAGGTCTATGGCACAGAAAAAGGACATTTGGCCCATCAAATTTGTGCCAGTCCTGAGCTCTGCCTGCAAAACTTCCACTGCACCTGGAATTCCACCAGCCACATACAAGTCCATAATTAATAATCACATATCATCCTTTTCCACAACAATTTTCAGTCACTTTACATCTTGTATTGCATTGAATTCATTGAAATTGTAATCTTCTTTGCTCTTTAGAAACGGGAAACTCCTGGATTCTGCTGTCAATCCATGATCTGTGCAAGAGTGTTAGCACAGCCCTGCTGTTTGGAATGGTCTTCCAAAAAACCTCTAATTGGTTTCATCTTGCTTGCATTTTCAAATGCCTCCTCAAATTTACATTGTGTTTGGTACCTTCCTAACACTATGATAGAAGTAGGACTGTTCTGCTCTGTTTAAAGCTCAATTAATATGTTAAAACAGCATATCGGAAATTCATCAAATAATTCCTTAAGGTCAGGCACGCCTAATAGTTATGATCAGGATTACAATCTTTTCCAATTCTTGTCAACCAGTGTCAGCTTGCAGCATTCCAAAGCTGGGTGTGCTAAGAATAAATAGATGGAAAGTTGTCTCCACTTTGCCTCAAGAAATTTTTTTCAATTTCAAATATACGTCTTTTTTTCCACTCATCATGTGACCCTTCCGCTTGCTTTTCACACTGAGAAGCATATGAACAGTAATAAATTACAAATGGTTTCATGCTTTTGTTCTCTATTTTTTGAAAGTTGGACAGAGCTTGCTCTAAATAATGTAATGGAGACCTTTTTTGCTAGAAGAAGGAGTGCACTTAATTATGAACTGCAGTTATACCCAGGTGGGAAGAATACAGGCATAGACTATTTTCCAAATGAAGAAAGGCTTCAGAAATCTGAAGCACAAAAGGTACTAAGGAGTCCTAGTTCAGGATTTTCTTAAGGTAATATGCAG